TCAAAATTGGGAAAGGTGTACGCCAGGGATGTGTCCTGTCTTCATACCTTTTCAACCTGTATGCAGAGCAGATTATCCGGGAGGCTGGGCTCTATGAGGAGAAGTGTGGCATCAGGATTGGTGGAAGATCTATTAACAATCTGTGTTATGCAGATGACACAACCCTGCTTGCTGAAACCGAGGAGGCCCTCATGTACTTGCTGCAGAGGGTCAAAGACTGGAGCCTTCAGTATGGACTGAGGCTCAATGTCAAGAAGACAAAGATTCTCACCACTGGGCCAGCTGGAAGCATCAGGATGGATGGTGAAGAAATTGAGATTGTTCACAGCTTCAGTTTGCTTGGCTTCATGGTCAACACTCTTGGCACCAGCAGCCAGGAAATAAGAAAACGTATTGCGATGGGAAAGTCTGCGGTTAGGGACCTCTCTAAACTACTCAGGAGCAACGGTGTCTCTCTGGAGACTAAGGTACGCCTGATACAGGCCATGGTTTTTGCAATCACTTGTTATGCATCAGAGAGTTGGACAATGACTAGGGAGGACAGAAGGAGGATTGATGCCTTTGAGCTGTGGTGCTGGAGAAGAGTATTGAATGTACCCTGGACTCCAAAGTAAACAGACAGATTCAATCTGGAGATGGTTATACCAAGCTACTCATTGGAGGCAAGGATTCTGGGGCTTCGTCTGACATACTCTGGGCTTGTTGCAAGGAGGGACAGGTCCTTGGAGAGGGACATCATGCTTGGGAGGGTGGAGGGACGGCACAAGAGGGGAAGACCCTCTATGAGATGGATTGATTCAGTGACTGGGGTAACCGGGATGGGTGTGTCAGAGGCAGTGCGATTGGCACAGGATAGAGCAGGGTTTAGGGTTGTTGTACATAGGGTCGCTATGAGTCGCAAATGACTCGACGGCACATAACAACAACAACATGACAGTATAATGATATGATCTTGAAGACAGCCTGAGACTAGGCAATGTGTTAATCTGTCATGCATGGGGTCACCATGATTCAGAGTCCAGTGGTGGCAACTGACCACCATTACCCATGATCACTGATTTTCACACTTCAGATAATCTAAGTCCACCCAGCTGACATTTTCTGGAACTTTTAATACAGCTCTTGCCTCAGTCTTGTTATTGTTGTTTACTGTCGAGCTGGAACTGACTCCAGAGCCATTCATCTAGAGAGTTTCCATATGTACGCAGTAAATTACATGGGAGGAAACTGTCCATCCTCCTCTCATGGAACAGGTGGTAGATTTGAACCATGTACATTTGGGTTGGCAGCACAACTCCCAACCACTAAGCCACCTGTGCTCATCATGAATTTGCTTGGTTAATTCCATTTTTCCTAAAGGCACCTAACAACAACAACAACATTAAAATTAAACATTAATATTAATGCAAAAAAGTTTGTCTATGCTCCATTTAATAGTATTTTAAGTATTGTGAACATCGTCTACCTTAGGAAATACTAAATTTGAGCCATGCTTTGCAACTGTTTTTAACTGTGACTCACCATCCAAGTAAATTACATCACATTATACTTTCTGTAGTTCATATTTTGAGAAAATAACCATTTTATCTTAAAATAAAATTATGTTACCTGTGTTTCTGAAAACATCTCGTAGCAAACTCTGGTGTGCTGACAAAAACGGCTTTAAGTTGATAATGTACAAATATGGCAATTTAAACACTAGGCAAGGGTATTTTCATTTGCTTCAATGCATGTGAAAGTTGTACAATGAATAAGAAAGATCAAAGAATTGTTGCCTTTGAGTCAAAGGTGAAGATTATTGAGTATACCATGGACAGCCAAAAGAACAAAGAGACTTGTATTAGAAGAAGAGCTTCCAGGGTGCTTTGAGCTTGTTATAAGTAGGAATAAAGCCTGGAAAAAAAATAACATCCTGCCTGGAAACACACAGTTAGCAAAATGAGAGGAAGATACTCAATGAGATGGATGGGCAGAGTTACTATAACAGTGGGCTTAAGCACAGCAAAAGATTCTGAGGATGGAACTCAAATAGTGAGATACACTACAAGCTAATGAGTGAATGTGGTATTGTAATTATACATTATGGAAAGGGAAGGAAATGGGATTATTGGAGGGGAAAAATTACTGTAACACTGGCCCAGTAGGCAACATCAAGATGGGTGGAGAAAAGATTGAGACTGTCTAAACTGCATTTTACTTGGATCCAGTCTGGACATCAGGAGACAGATTGCACTGGGAAGGTCTGCAGTCAGGGACCTTTCAAAATTATTGAGGAGTAATGATGTCAGTTTGAGGACTAAAGTGCGTCTGATTCAGGTCATGGTCTTTTTAGTAACTTGCTATGCATCTGAGAGCTGGACAATGACTAAGGATGACAGAAAAAGAATTGATGTCATTGAACTGTGGTGTTAGAGAAGAGCACTGAAGATTACACGGACTGCCAAAGCAAACAGATACATCCTGGAAAATGTGCAGCCAGAGTGCTCCTTGGAGGCAAAGATGAAGCTTCATCTCATATACTTTCGGTATGTTGCTAGGAGAGGTTATTACTTGGAGAGGGACAGCATACTTGGGAAGGTAGGGGGCAGCAAAATAGAGGAAGACCCTCTACTATGTGGGATGACATAGTGACTGTGGCAATGGGCTTGAGTGTGTCAGAGACTATGAAGATGGCATGGGATAGAATAGTGTTCAGATCTATTTTTCAAAGGGTGGTACTCAATTCAACAGCACCTAACAACAATAACAAGAGATACTTGGGTGTAAAATTTCAAGTCAAGACCGATTCTAACTTTTTTGATCCTCAGACTCCTAAAGCATATTGTCTACAGCTAACTTCACTTTATAAGAGTGGAGTTTACTTATGACAGAGACCATGAAAAGTCAGCTAAATTTACTATCTGATGGTTTACAAAAATATTTTACTGGCCCCAGTATAGAAGAATGGTAATGGCAGAGCCAAGACCAGAAACAGTGAGATAAAGAGGAATTTGCAACCTTTCCAGCAACTTATGGTCCAGGAACCAGTTGAATTAATTTAGATTTCAGTGAGTTGTGGGATAAAATTTAAGTAAAAATGTTTGTGTCTATTTGTAAATAGAATTTCAGAAGACTAGATGTTAAGAGCTGAAATAGACTAGATACAGTTTCCAAGGAAGAACAATGAGCCCTTAATAATCCAATGCATGCCTTTCCATTGACACCAGAAACAATGTTCAACAAGAAAGGTGAAAATAGCTTTGCTTTCCAACATAATGCAACCCAGAATGACAATGTGAAACAGAGGGGGAAGAAAAAGGCCGAGGTCAAACCAAGAAGAAGAAATAGAAGCTCTGTACAGATTCTGAGTATTGGGGAGCCCTGGAATATGTGAAAGGCCAATCCTTCAAGCTGAACATCTAAGCCTTGCCTATACCCTAGCACAGTCTCATTGTTACTTCCCACCTTACGATCTAAAGTAGCTTTCCTCTAGCTCACTCATTGTTTTAGAGTTGGAAGCCACTTGTAGCTGATGCTCTTTGGGTTTTGGATAGGCTGCAAATCCCACAGCAAGTGACTGCCCTTTCTTCCATGGAGCTGCCAGTGGGTTCAAACCATCAGGCTAGCAGAATAGCTCCCTAAGCACCACTAGAACAGAAATGAATTTTTTTTAATTTTTATTGGGAAAAAACAAATTGGTGGTACAAAGAAGTGAGGGTTGGGGGCAGAAGGGTAAGGATGGGCAGGGATGCAGTTGCAGAGCTGCAGACATTGGTTGGTGGGGGGAGCAGGTGAAGGAAATGAAAGTTATCCAGTGGGGACCAGATGCCACAGGAAAATGACAAGCATTTTCCAATGGTAGTTAAATCAACTGTCTTACTGATTTGGAAACTGGATGTCAATTCTCTGGCTTCTTCATGTTGAACAGGGGCATTGATGTGAAGGGGGAAAGGGAGGACACTTTATCACCTTACTGGTGATCTTGGGTTAAGGCTGCTTGCCTTCTTGTTCTGTTAGAAGATATTTTCCTGTCATTTGCTCCCCTCTGGACTGCAAAGTGTTTTCCCAGGTGGGTCTAGTGGGGATGGCTGGTTGAACCCAGAGGCTCCATCCTCCTTTGCTTCTTTAGCTGGCAGTTGTATTTCCTTTTTGTCACTGGCACTGGGTTTGGGGTCAGGTCTGAAGTAAAACTCAGTGGTAAGGTTACCTGTAGGAAAGGGAGCAAACCTAGAGAGAACAAACTTGTGAGTTACAAATAGAGGGGTTTGGGGGGTGTTGCTTTCAGGTTTAGATAGGGTGGCAGAAAGTAGCCTAGATAAAATTCTCTGGATACCCTAGGCATTTTTTTTCCTACCCAGGGGTCAGATGGCTTAATCTGGGGACTGAGGGGCTCACCCTGAGGGCCATGATGGCTCGCCCCGAGCCGAGGGCCAAAGACAGCCTGTCCCGGGCCAAGAGCCGAGGACGGCCTGCCCCGGGCCGAGAGCCGAGGACAGCCCGCCCCGGGCTGAGGGCCATGATGGCTTGCCCCGAGCTGAGGGCCAAAGACAACCCATCCCGAGCAGGGCAACACCCGCCATGGGCTGGCTGGTACACTCCCTTCTACTTGCCCCCACACTAATCTGGTCCCCTCACCTGACCGAGGAGTGTGTGGCCAGGGACAGCATCTCTAATTCCAGCACCACCATGTTACCCCCCACCATAAGTGGTCATACTATAATTTGAAGTAGGTGTCACTTCTCTCCCCCTTTATAAATGGCAAAAGGAACCTGAAAATTATGAACAGGCTCCCCCCAGGTCTAAACATCTTTTGGCAGAAGCATTCAACAGATCAAAATATGTGGTGCATTTAGGACGTTGGTCCTCTTGGACATGCTGCCACTGTAAGTGTCATCAAGTAGACAACTCACAGTGACTTTCAACAATCCATTGTATAGGTAGTCATCTTCTCTGGTTTTCCAAGGAAACCCAAACCTGCAGGTGGTAGGGCACATGTCCCCCCCACGGGCAGCAGGGCACACGTTGTCTCTTCTGTGTGGGCGCACACCATCCCCCCAGCACAGGTGACTGGCAGGCGCTAGCCATCTCTTGCGTGTCATCTCCCACGCGGGCAGCCGGCGGGCACATATCATCTCGTGTGTGGGTGACCTGCGAGTGCGTGTCCTCTCTCGGCGGGCACACGTCATCTTGTGCACGGGCAGCTGGTGGGGGTAGGTGCGCGTCATCCCCCAGCGGGGGCTGCTGGCGGGCACATGTCATCTCGCGTGCAGGTGACTGGAGGGCTCACATCATCTCTCGGCAGGTGTGCGCCATTTTTTTGTGTGGGCGGCCGACAGGCGCGTCCCACCTTCCACACAGGTGGCTGGTGGGCGTGAGCCATCTCCCAAGTATCATCTCCCATACCGACGACTGGCAGGTGTGCGTCGTCTCGTGCACGGGTGACCTGCAGGCGCGTTTCATCTCTCAGCAGGTGGGTATCATCTCATGCGCAGGCAGCTGGTGGGGGTGGGTGTGCACCATCCCTCAGCACGGCCGGCCTGCGGGCACACTTCATCTCTTAGCATGCGTGCGCCATCTCGTGCACAGGCAGCCAGCGGGTGCGCACCATCCCCCAGTGCGGGGTGGCCAGTAGGCGTGCGCCATCATGGGCGACAGGCGGGTGTGTGCCATTCCCCATTGCAGGCGACCAGCGAGCTAGCGCCACCTCGTGTGCGGGCGGCTGGTGGGCATGTGCCATTGTTTTGTGCGGGCGGCCGCCAGGCACGTGCCATCTTCCGCGCAGGTGGCTGGTGGGCGCGAGCCACCTCCCAAGTGTCATCTCCCACACATGGGGCTGGCAGGCACGCGCCATCCCGTGTGCGGGAAGCCGGCGGGCGCACACCATCCCCCACGCAGACCATAGCTGGGTGAGTGCCATCTTCCATGTGGGTGACCAGCGAACTCAAGCCATCTCCCGCATGTCATCTCCCACAAGGGCGGCTGGCGGTTGAGCTTTATCTCCTGTGGTACGCCAGTGTCCGCCCACTTCCCCTGCTGCTGGCATCTTGGTTCCAAGAATTCTCCTCGGAACAAGTACACTTTGCTGCAGTGTGGCAGCTCCACCGCACCAGTCCTGGGGAGGCCCGGTGCCCACCCTCCATCCTGGGCGAGGGATTCCATAGGTTCCGGCTGTGGGAGCTTCATGGAGCTGCGGCTGCGGTGAGGTGCAGTGCGGGCTCTGCGGGAGGGGGTTGGGAGCTGCGGCACTCACCCATTCTTCCTTGGAAATCCTTGAATTCCTGTTGTTGAGCCTCAATCCTCACTGATACCAGTCATCAACTGATTAACTATCCAATTATTAATAAACAGAAGTCTGTAGAGGGTCATAATGGCCCTTTTCCAAGTGGTCCGCTGCTCCCACAGCTCACCACGTTGTCTCTACCTCTGCCGCCATCTTGGACCTCAGAAGTGAAATTTTAAAAGCTACCTAAGTAGGGAGCTCTCATGACCTAGTGGCAAGAAGCTACACTGCAATCCCAAAGGTGCACAGTTTGAATCTAGCAGATGCCCCACTAGAGAAGGACAGGCAATTTCCTCCTGTGCCAGTCAGATTCAATCTGATGGTACACAACAATTTTTTTAAAAAATTTTTTAAAAGTTACATAAGTAAGTGTTATAGTATTTACGGGTTTCTGGGCCTAGTGTCATACTGGACTGATTTTCATTTTTCTTTTTCTTGATTTTCTTGATTTAATTGCAATATGTGGTTTGTTTTGTGCTGCCTCTTAATATTATAGTCTTAAATAGAGGGTATAATTGATTCAGCACTTAGAGGCTGGATCTAGCTTGCACATGTGTTTTGTAAGTTTTTTTAAGTAGTCATTACAGTAACTGTGGTAATAGGGGTTGGTGTGTCAAAGTCAGTGAGATAGGGCAGTCTTCAGAGCTGCTGTACATAGGGTTGCTAGGAGTTACAGGTGACTCAACAACACATAACAACAACTACAAGTCATTATTTTAAAACTTTATGTTCCACATTCAGATCTAGATTTCTGGTTTGTCTTGAAAATTCAGAAAACCTGTTAACAGGTGAGCCTACATCATTACAAGAGCACTTGGTGAGGAAGAGGGGCAACTACCCACAAAGACCAGGTGCACCCTCTAGTCCACCACTCACTCCCACTCCCTACCAGCCCCTGGCTATGCAAGCAATTAAGGGTCAGTCATTTGTTGAGACCCCTGTGTTGTTGCTTATTTGTAGTGTGAAAGAATCATTCTCTTTGCCCATACCACTCTTTGAAGAGAAAGGACAATATGTTGTGATTGTTAAGTATCACTGAGTCAGGATTCTCCAATGGGTTTTCGGAGGCAGTAAATCACATGAGAAGAAATTACCCATCTTTCACCTTCTATAAGTTTGTACCTTTGGATTTGGCAGTATGCCAAAAGACCTCCCTAGGCCAGTATATGGGGTCACAATTTTGCTCATTCTTGTCCTGTGTCATTAATTTCTTGAATTTTATGTAAACTTAAACATCATTTGTTATATGGGGGGGGGAAATCCAAGCTAGCTGTCATTGATTCAAACTCAAGGAAAGCCTACACGTTGTCAAGGTAGAAGTGTTTATTAAGTTTTCAATGGCTAATATTTTAGAGGAAGATCTGAAGCATTTCTTCTATGACACGTTTGGGTGGACTCAAACTTCTAAACTTTTGGTTAGCAGCATGAGCAAGCTAACCATTTATACTCACACCATTTGTATCACACTATTTTATATACCACTGTGTACAAAACACTACCAACTACAACCCATATTTCAATTTCAGACATGCTTCCAAAAATATGCCTCTAAGTCAAGGCAATATGCCACCTACCTGGTTTCTATAGACATTTGAACCAGTAACTTCACTTTATATACATTTGAAGCACACATTAAAATACACATTATATATATTCTCTATAAACATATATTATGTATTTATATGATACATAAGGATGATCCAGGAGGTATCAAAAGAAGATGGAAAAAATAAACTGAGTCACTGTATGGAAAGGAATTGGCAGACACAGAAGAATTTAATGAAACAATATATGAGCAAGAGCCTATGGTGATGAAGCAAGAAGTTCAGGCTGCTTTGAAGGAAATGGAAAAAATAAGGCCCCAGAAATAGATGATATACAAATTGACATATTTCAGCTAATGGATGCTTCCCTGGACATGCTCACCAAGTTGTGCCAAGAAATCTGGAGAAGCAGCACTTGGCCAACTGACTGGAAGAGATCTATTATTTGTTCCCATTCCAGAGAAAGGTGACCCAACAGAGTGTGGAAACTATAGAACAATCTCATTTATTTCCATGCAAGAAAGATTCTGCTGAAGATTATCCAAAAACGACTGGAACAGCACTTCAGCAGAGAACTGCCAAAAGTCCAGGCTGAGCTTAGAAAGGATTGTGGCACTAGGGATATTGTAGTAATGTTAGGTGGATCTTGGCTGAAAGCAGAGAGTACCCGAAGAATGTCTATCTGTGCTTCATTGATTATGCAAAGGCGTTTGACTGTGTGGATCATAACAAATCGTGGCTGACTCTGAGAAGAATGGGAATATAAGAACACTTGATCATGCTAATACGAAACTTATACTTGAACCAAGAGGCAGTTGTCAGAAAAGGGCAAGGAAACACTGCATGGTTCAAAATTGGGAAGGGCATACACTAGGGATGTGTCCTGTCTCCATACCTTTTCAACCTGTATGCAGAACAAATTATCCGATTTGTGATGAGTTATGTGGAGAAATGCGGCATCAGGATTGGTGGAAGATCTATCAACAATCTGCGTTATGCAGATGACACAACTCTGCTTGCTGAAACTGAGGAGGACCTGAAGCATGTGCTGCAGAGGGTCAAGGACTGCAGCCTTCAATATGGATTGAGGCTCAATGTCAAGAAGACAAAGATTCTCACCATTGGGCCAGTTGGCAGCATCCGGATGGATGGTGAAGAGATTGAGATTGTTCACAGCTTTAGTCTGCTTGGCTCCACAATCAACACTCTTGGCACCAGCAGCCAGGAAATTAAAAGACATATTGCAATGGTTAATTCTGCTGTTAGGGGCCTCTCTAAAGTCCTGAAGAGCAATGGTGTGTCTCTGGAAACTAAGGTGCATCTGGTACAGGCCATAGTCTTTGCAATCACTTGTTATGCATCAGAGAGCTGGACAGTGACCAGTGAGGATAGAAGGAGAAGTGATGCTTTTGAGCTTTGGTATTGGAGAAGACTATTGAGGGTACCATGGACTGCTAAGAAAACAAACAGATTCATCCTGGAAAGGTTTAAACCGGGCTGCTCCTTGGAGGCAAGGATTCTGAAACTTTGTCTGACAAACTTTGATCATGTTGTAAGGAGAGACCTGCCCTTGGAGAGTGACATCATGCTTGGGAGGGTGGAGGGTACACGCAGGAGGGGAAGGCCCCCTGGGAGGTGGATTGATTCGGTGACTGGGGCAATTTGGATGAGGGTGTCAAAGACAATGAGATTGGCACAGGACAGAGCAGAGTTTAGAGCTGTTGTACATAGTGTCGCTATGAGTCACAAGTAACTCAATGCCACATAACAAACAACATATCTATATCTAATATCTAATATAGTATATATTATATATTATAATATATAATAGAATATAGAATATTTATATCTTAGATGGTTAAGTCTGCTGTTAGGGACCTCTCTAAAGTATTGAAGAGCAACGGTGTGTGTCTGGAGACTAAGGTGTGTCTTATACAGGCCATAGTCTTTGCAATCACTTGTTATGTGTCAGAGAGTTGGACAATGACCAAGCAGGATAGAAGGAGAATTGATGCCTTTGAGCTGTGGTGCTGGAGGAGAGTATTGAGTGTACCATGGACTTCTAAGAAAACAAACAGATTCATCCTGGAGAGGGTTAATCCAGGCTGCTCCTTGGAGGCAAGGATCCTGAGGCTTCATCTGACATACTTTGGACATGTTGTAAGGAGGAACCGGTCCTTGGAGAGGGACATCATGCTTGGGAGGGTGAAGGGATGGTGCAGGAGGGGAAGACCCTCTATGAGGTGGATTGATTCAGTGACTGGGGTAATTGGGATGGGTGTGTCCAAGACAGAGCAATTGGCACAGGACAGAGCAGAGTTTAGGGCTGTTGTACATAGGGTCGCTATGAGTCACAAGAC